GCTAATGTTTGTATTTTTACTGGAGATGGGGTTTTACCATGTTGGCCAGACTGGTCTCAAACTCCTGACCTCAGATAATCCTCCCGCCTCAGCCTCTCAAAGTGCTGGGATTACAGGTGTGAGCCACTGTGCCCAGCTAGATTTATTTTTAAGACAATGTGTTTTTTGTCCCTAACAAAAGGCATTTAATATTAAGCCCATCACCATTTCTTCCCCTCTCCTGGAAAACCAGTACCACCGCCTATGTTTCTCATTTCAGTGAATGAACAGCTTTCTAGCCTTGCATGGAAATCTGGTGTCAGAAAAAAGCTGGGGGTGGGGGAATTCACATTATCGGTAATGGTGTTAAAGTGTACCACTCAGTGGTATTTAGTGTATTCGCTATGTTGTGCAACCAACCACCAGCTCTCTCTAGTTTTAAAAGTTTTTCATCACACCATTAAATCACCCCATACCCCTTAAGTAATTATGCCCCATTTCTCCCTTCTCTCATTGTGTAATCTACTTTCTGTCTCTCTGGATTTGCCTATTCTGGATATATCATATAAAATAAGTTGTATAATGTGTGACCTTATGTGTCCGGCTTCTTTACCTTAGCCTGATGTTACTGAGCTTCATATATTAGTACTTCATTTCTTTCTATGGCTGAATAATATTTCATTGTATGTATATGCTGCAGCTTATTCATTTGTCGATGGATGTTTGAGTTTCTGCCTTTTGATCATTACAACAAATTTTCTGTGTGGACAGATGTTAGGTATATACCTAGAAGTGGAATTGCTGGGTCATATGGTAACTCTGCTCAACTTTTTTATCATATGTCATTTTCCTTTTTTAAAAAATATATATATATATTTTTTAAACTGAGACAGGATCTGGCTCTGTTGCCCAGGCTGGAGTGCCCTGGTGTCATCTCAGGTCATGGCAACTTCCGCCTCCTGGTCTCATCTTCCCACCTCAGCCTCCGTGAGTAGCTGGGTCTGTAGGTGCACGCCACCATGCCTGGCTACTTTTTTTCTTTTTTTTTTTTCTTCGTAGAGACAAGGTTTTGCCATGTTGCATCAAACTCCTGGGCTCAAACCATCTGCCCACGTTAGCCTCCCAAAGTGTTGGGATTACAGGCATGAGCCACCACGCCCAGCTCATGTCATTTTTGACTTACTACTTTAAGCCCTACTTCTTTAACATCACCAGGTTAGGGTGATTGATTCTGTCTTCTAAATATCCCTGTTTTCTTCATTGTTTCCGTGGCTATATACTTGAGGTACGCTTTTCAGGATTACTTGAATTGCTTGCTTTTTGTTTCTTTGTCCTCATCATGCCTTATTTACACAATCTTCTACATAGTACAAGATTGGTTTTTGCAAATGTAAATCTCATGAGGTCACCCCATTGTTTAAAAGAAAAAGAAAAAAAGAACCACCCTTCAAAGGCTTATCATTGCCCTCTGGATAAAGTCCAAGCATGCAGGGCTTACAAAGGCCCTTTGCTGTCCAGCTTTTGACATTCTGTTTAGTTTCAGCTGCTCCCCTGCCCCCCGCCGTTCCAGTCATATACTGATTTCCCTATTTTAAGTTTTTGTACATGCTCCTCTACCTAAAGTAGAGGTTCAGATTCTAAACCTTGAATTTCCTCACCCAAATCCTTTATTTCTTTTCTTTGTAGAAGCCTTTTCTTATTCCTCATGATTATGTTATGTGCCTTTCTTTTTTTGTGTGCCCTCAAATTCTTGTACTGTTGTTGGAGCACATTGTAATTGCCTGTTTACTTCTCTGGGGATCAGAAGCCGATGTTGATCAAGTGCCAGAAGATGTAGACAGACTGAAGTACAATCAATAGGAATTTAGCAGAAGCCAAAAGATTATTTGATAAATTATTTAGGGAAGACTTCATGGAAGGGGCTAGTATTGATAGGGACCTTGAAGGAAGCGTTCATGAAGGTATGGTATGGTTATATCGCTTTAAGTGGATTAAGCCTGTTAAATATTCATGCATCTAGACCTAGGAAGAGTCATGCTGGGGGCAGAAGCCATGACAAAAGTGAGGCGTTGGACGTTTTTCAGCATTGCTTTTGTATTTACTTCCACGGAACAAGCAAAGGACACAATTAGGCCTGCAGAAGAGATGCATGGAAAGAATGAGCAAAAGATTTCAAGAACTTGAGGGTTTTGACAAGAGTAAGAAGCAATGATATACTTTTGAGTATCATATGGAAAGTGTAAGGAAATTTTCAAGGGTAATTTTGACCATGTAATTTTGTAATAAATAATTTCAGAGCTTACTCACCTATGTTTATAAACCCTGAACTTCTGGTGGAAAATGCAACAAGTAGGTAATTTCTGGATATATTACAGAATCTTTCACAAGACTCTTGCGTACAATGTTGCAGAAAATGGTCCGAGTAATGTAATGGTGTTTATCTAGGAAAAGGTTGGAAATGAGATCACTCATGTAGAAAATAACTCCTCACAGCGCATTTGTGTGTGCTCCACTCCATCCCTCAGTCGACAGGAAAGTGTGACTTTCTGTTTTACTAGAATGTCTGCAACATAGTTGGCACTCAGTACGCATATGCATGCATAAACAAAGTAACTGAAAATGCTATTCCCATCTTAATGTGTTTGCACTTTCAATATCTTTAAAAAGTATTTTCGATTAGCCACTTTAAAGTAAAAATACCTTTCTTGTGTATTGAAATACAGCGCTGATTTTAACTATTTGTAAAAGTCTAGTTTGCCTGTTATGCAAAAATATTAGACTTATACAAATCTCCCCTCAAATTTCAAGAAAAGAAGCACTTCCATGTTTAAACATAAATTTTTTATTTTTATTTTTGAGACAGAGTCTCGCTTTGTCACCCAGGCTGGAGTACAGTGGCATGGTCTCGGCTCACTGCAGCCTCTGCCTCCCAGGTCAAGTGATCCTCCTGCCCCAGCCTCCTGAGTAGCTGGGATTACAGGTGTCCACCTCCATGCCTGGCCAATTTCTGTATTTTTACTAAAGACAGGGTTTCACCATGTTGGCCAGGCTGGTCTTGAACTCCCGACCTCAAGTGATCCACCCTCCTTGGCCTCCTGAAAGTGTTGAGATTACAGGTATGAGCCACCACGCCCGGCCTAAATAATAAATTTTCACTGTTGACCTTCTCATATTTTGCTGGCATGTTGTTAAATCTTAGTCATTGAAATAATACCATCTCTGATTACCCCCAAAATTAATATCTCCTCAGTTACCTACACATTGGTTCAGTCGTTGGTAGCACTCCGAGCTGTATTATACTGTCTTTCATCCTTAGGCAAAGCTGCGTGAGAATGATGGCAGGTAGTACCCGAGAATTACACACCTGTTGAGACTCCCACCAAGTCCTTTTCAAACCACTCTACTCTTGCGTGTTCTTTGTCCCCACTTTCCAATTTGAGCCAATGAGTACCCAATTCCACTGGCAGGTAAAACGTGATAATTTTGTGGGTGATTGATACGCGCATTCACTATTGTGATTGTTGTGTTGGTTCCTCTGGTGTATACATATATCAGTACTTATTAAATTGTTTTTTTTTTTTGTTTTTTTTTTTTTGAGATGGAGTCTTGCTCTGTCACCCAGGCTGGAGTGCAATGAATGGCGTGTTCTTGGCTCAATGCAACATTTGCCTCCCAGGTTCAAGCAGTTCTCCTGCCTCAGCCTTCTGAGTAACTGGGATTACAGGCGCATGCCACCATGCCCAGCTAATTTTTAAATTTTTATTTATTTATTTATTTTTAATTTTTTTTTTTTTTTTGAGACAGAGTTTTGCTCTTGTTGCCCAGGCTGGAATACAGTGGTGCGATCTCAGCTCACCGCAACCTCTGCTTCCCAGGTTCAAGCAATTCTTCTGCCTCAGCCTCCTGAGTAGCTGGGATTACCGGCATGCGCCACTACACCTGGCTAATTTTGTATTTTTAGTAGAGACGGGGTTTCTCCATGTTGATCAGGCTGGTCTCAAACTCTCGACCTCAGGTGGTCCGCCTGCTTTGGCCTCCCAAAGTGCTGGGATTACAGGTGTGGGCCACCGTGCCTGGCCAAATTGTGTAATTTAAGTCTGTGCAGTTCACCGAATGTCAGTTATACCTCATTAAACTGTTTAAAAATTTCTCACATGGTCTGCTCGCCATTAGTAGGCCAGTACTTTATTAAGTCTGGTGTCTGTGGAAACATTTTGGGCCCTGCACCCCTGCTCACCTGCTCCTTAAGGTCCCTGTCTTGGCTTGTGTGCCCCCACCTCACTAGTTCCTCGCCTCTCGTTTCCCACCCTGTCATCCTTTGTCCATGCCACAGCACCCTCTTTAGAAGAGAAGAACCTCATGATGCTACAGCCATTCCTGTATGCTGTAGCTATTACTCTTAAGCTACTCCTGTGTCCCAGAGGCTGTGGCTCTCAGAGGGTCAACATACACAGACAACACTTATGGGACCTCTGCTCTCCTTGTGCTCAGAGATGGATGGGCACACAGGAGCACTGTAGGAGCAGGTCCCCACGACTACAGGGACATGTCAAATAGGAGTACAAATGTTAGTACAAATGAAAGTTATTAAGCTCAGTATATTCCAATGAAAAGGTATGATTAGACACTCTGAAAGCATACCCTAAAGACAGCAGCTTAAGAATTACCAACTTGATTTGATTTCTGGGGTTCCCTCTGAACGAGAATCTCTGGGGGATGGGCCTGGATATCTGCATTTTAATAAGCTTCCTTAAAAGACCACTGTAGGGCCACCCAGAATGACAAGAGCCTGGCTGGACACCAGTAGAAGTTGATCTTCTGGAGAGTTTGCTTTACCCAGGGCTTTCTTACAGTATAGACATGAAAATATTTTGGCCATCAAGTAGCATTTTGCCTGGCAAGGTATATCTGTTTGATGGTTTAAAACTTATATATAACATGTATGCTCAAGTTCTGTAATTTATCTATTGGATGAAAATTATGTGCTTAAATGTATTGATTAAACTTTGCTTTTTCCACAGAACTCAACAAAAATCCAGTGGAAGGCTTTTCTGCAGGTTTAATAGATGACAATGATCTCTACCGATGGGAAGTCCTTATTATTGGCCCTCCAGATACACTTTAGTAAGTATAATGGGACTGACATCTTCAAAATGGAGCTCTTTTAATAAATTGAATTAAAAACTATTTTGGCAGGCTGGGCGCGGTGGCTCACGCCTGTAATCCTAGCACTTTGGGAATGGGTGTGGTGGCACGCGCCTGTAGTCCCAGCTACTCAGGAGGCTGAGGCAGGAGAATCACTTGAACTCAGGAGGCAGAGGTTGCAGTAAGCTGAGACCACACCATTGCACTCCAGCCTGGGTGACAGAGTGAGACTCCATCTCAAAACAAAACAAAGCAAAAACACAAGTATTTTGGCAAACTGAAATGAAATTATTTTTTAAGGAGCAGGAGAAATGGCTGTATTCAGTATCCTTTGTACTGAATTGGATCATCGAAGAGTTTTTGTGTTCTCCTTGAATCTCTAATGTCTAAGACCTATTGCTATTAAAAATAATAGTTTCAGGCTGGGTGTGGTGGCTCACGCCTGCAATCCTAGTACTTTAGGAGGCTGAGGTGGGTGGATCACCTGAGAGGTCAGGAGTTTGATACCAGCCTGGCCAACATGGTGAAACCCTGTCTCTACTAAAAATACGAAAATTAGCCGGGCGTGGTGGCACGCCTGTAATCCCAGCTATCCAGGAGGCTGAGGCAGGAGAATCACTTGAATTCAGGAGGCAGGATAATTATATATATTTTGGACATTTTAATTGAGAATGTATTATACACATCAATGTTTTAAGAAGGCTAAGGAGAATTTTCAAGATCGTCTATTTTCGTGGTTCTCTACTTGAGTCCCCACCGAATACTGGTTAGAATCTAGGTGTTCTTATCCTATACTAAACTAATGGTCACTTTCTCCTAGTTTGTTGAAAGTTATTGTTAGACTATATGATAATCTGTTAACTGACTATTAATTGTTAAACCAATGACTTAAGGATAGACAACAATGTAGTGGTATTAAATAAGAGTAGAAGAAGAGAAGTAGAATTTTAAAAATATTTCGTGTAGTACATTTCTAGATGCAAAGACCACAGTCGTATTTTCTGCTCTGAGTGTTTGCAGACTAACTTAAATTTACTAGTATGTATTGTTTTGTAAGATGCATCTGCCAGGCGCGGTGGCTCACGCCTGTAATCCCAGCACTTTGGGAGACTGAGGTAGGCAGATCACGAGGTCATGAGTTCGAGGCCAGCCCGACCAACATGGTGAAACCCTGTCCCTACTAAAAAGACAAAAAAATTAGCCAGGTGTGGTGGCGCGTGCCTGTAATTCAGCTACTCAGGAGGCTGAGGCAGGAGAATCACTAGAACCCAGGAAGTGGAGGTTGCAGTGAGCTGAGATAGCGCCATTGCACTCCAGCCTGGGTGACAGAGTGAGACTCCATCTCACACATACATACAAAGATGCATCAAGACTTCCTTACATTGGTGACTGATACAAGTTTCCATGCGTTTTATAGCAGTTCAGGTATTGGGGGAAAAAAGGAAGTGACCTTTTAAAGCCAACTGAGTGACAGGGACAGATCTAGATCTGAGTTTCTTGAGGTCTGGACTATACTTTCTCATTTAACCTTCATCTCAGTGGTGCTAAGTGGGTAAGGATTTGGATGCATCAAACATTTTTTTTGGTGATGGTCAGGTAGTTGTTTTTAGGTTTTCTGAGTTAGTAGCTCTTTTCCTCCTCAGAAAACAGCTGATGGAAAAGAAGATCCTTGGAGCTATTTCTCTGCCAGGCTAGGCTGATACGTAGAGTTGAACCGTAGTGTGGACATTTGTGTTTGTGATAACGACTGCCAATCCGAAATTTTGCTGATGTGTTTCCTGATAGTAGTTTGCATTGATAAGTTTACAAATTGAGATAACTGAATTTGGCCACCCCACATGATTAAGGTTTTTGGCAGATAACAGTAGCCATTGAAGACCATCTGGAAGTGCTTCCTCCTAACCTTACTGTTATTTGAAAGCAAATTTCCTAACAGTTTTTTCACCAAAAGATGCTTGATGCAGCCAGATCCTTACCCACTTACCACACCTGGGATGTGAGCCCGGTGAAGTTCAGATCTATTCTTGTAGTTTTTCAACATCACCACCTTGGGAGACACAGCAACATTTCAGTGACAGAATCTAGTTACCCTTGTATTACGTACATGAAAACAAGAAAAACTCTCCTAAACTGATGTCTGTATGGAGCATTGGTTGGGAATCCAGATTTGAGCTCAATTCTAAGGGCCTCGTTGAAAAATTTTTTTTTTTTTTTTGAGATGGAGTCTTGCTCTGTCTCTCAGTCTGGAGTGCAGTGGTGCGATCTTGGCTCACTGCAACCTCTGTCCCCTGGGTTCAAGTGATTCTGCTGCGTCAGCCTCCCAAGAAGCTGGAATTACAGGCACCTGCCACCACACCCGGCTAATTTTTGTATTTTTAGTAGAGATGCCATTTCACCATGTTGAGCAGGCTGGTCTCGAACTCCTGACCTCTCAGGATTAGATATACACCATTTTGTTACAATTGCCTACAGTATACAGTACAGTAAAATGCTGTACAGGTTTGTAGCCTGGGAACTATAGGCTGTATCCTAAAGCCCAGGTATGTAAGTAGGCCATACCCTGTAGGCTTGTGTATGTTCACTCTGATGTACAAAATCGCCCAAGGACGCCTTTCTCAGATCATAACCCTGTCGTAAAGCCTCGCATAACTGACTGTATGTTGTGTACCTCCAGCTCCACCAAAGAGAAACACTTTTTCTTTTCACTAATGAAAACCCGTTTCTGGGCGGGCGCTGTGGCTGACGCCTATAATCCCAGCACTCTGGGAGGCCGAGGCGGGCAGATCACGAGGTCAGGAGATCGAGACCATCCTGGCCAACATGGTGAAACCCCGTCTCTACTAAAAATGCAAAAATTAGCTGGGCGTGGTGGCGCGCACCTGTAGTCCCAGCTACTCAGGAGGCTGAGGCAGGAGAATTCTTGAATCCGGGAGGCGGAGGTTGCAGTGAGCCAAGATCACACCACTGTACTCCAGCCTGGTGACAGAGCAAGACTCCATCTCAAAAAAGAAAACAAAGCCGTTTCTGGTGTTTGGTGCACATTTTTGAAAGTGTTGGCTGCTGACTTGAGATGTGAATCACAGCAGTGTTTCTGGCAGCTCCTCTGGAGTGTGTGTGTGCTGCTGAGAACACTGGTGGCCACTTCTGGATGGTGCCTTCCTGAGATCAGTAGCCTTTGCTCAGGAAAGAGAGAGAGCGTGTTCCTAGGGCAGGACCTGAGAAAGGCAAAGCAAGGTACGGGGGGATGAAGAAAGGTTTGTTAGAAGTAGGCCTTTTAAAATGCTACCAAGGATCATGTACTTCATAGAATGGATTTGTCGTTGGCTGGGCGTGGTGGCGTACGAGGCCAAGGCGGGCAGGATCATCGGAGGTCAAGAGTTGGAGACCAGCCTGACCAACACGGAGAAACCCCATCTCTACTAAAAATGCAAAATTAGTCGGGCATGGTGGTGTGCGCCTGTAATCCCAGCTACTCGGGAGGCTGAGGCAGGAGAATCGCTTGAACCCGGGAGGCAGACGTTGGCAGTGAGCTGGGATCGTGCCACTGCACTCCATCCAGCCTGGGCAACGAGAGGAAAACTCTGTCTCAAAAAAAAAAAAAAAAAAAAAAAAAAAGGTTGTCTTAACAGAAAGTAAGAAAGTAGTGATGTTCTTGTAATTATTTCAGTGGAATGGAGAGAGTAGAGGCCATCTTGGAATTGTTTGAAGAGCGCTATTGGGAGTGAATGTATACACCTTATGCATAAATAACTGCCTGTGAAGGGAAGTAGAGGCTTGTACTGGGGGGAAGGGGTGTTACAGGATTGAAAATAAATTAGTATAAGCTCAGATGGTACCCAGACCTAAGTGGTTAATTCACTACTTTATAATTAGGTAATAGAAATAATACTGAACCAAAATTCTGTAAAAGCTGGTGTGATTATCTCACCGTGCCATCATTAGCCCTCATTTAGTCACTAGAGGGCACTCCACTCTCTCCAGTCTATGTGATTGATAACTGGTACATTCAAGGGTTACTTTGAGACTCCTGTAGTTGCCACAAGTCTTAATTCAGTCATACTCATCTTTATATTGCATTACATGTTTATTTTTATTAATGAATCTTTCCAGTGCAGTAGTCTTTAAGGTTTTTCTAGGAAATGTACATTCTGAACTGGTAAGGTATACCAACTATTTTCAGACTGATTATCAAGCAGTATGGATAACCACTCATATCCACAGAAATTGAAATTTCAGGTGGAAGTGGCAACAGGTTTGTAGTAATGAAGTTTAGGATGGGCACAGTGGCTCACGTCTATAATCCCTGCACTTTGGGAGGCCAAGGGTGGAACATTTGAGCTCAGAAGTTGGAGACCAGCTTGGGCTACATGGCGAAACTCTGTCTCTACAAAAAAATACAAAAATAAGTCAGCCATGGTGATGCATGCCTGCAGTCAGGAGGCTGAGGTGGAGGATCACTTGAGCCCAAGAGACTGCAGTGAGCCAAGATGATGCCACTGCACTCTAGCTTAGGCAACAGAGCTAGACCATGTCTTAAACAAACAAACAAAAAAACCCAGAAAGTTTAAGAAACCTGGATATCACTGTATAATTATAACATTTTATAAATTATTAATGAATGATGTCTGTGTATCTTCTATCTCTCTTTTCCTTTCAACACCAATGGCTGGTCTGTTCAAGGAGTATGCCTTATCTATTTGTTTTGTTTTTAAGCACTGGCAATGGTATGAAAAATTTGGAGAATCTTAAGATTATGTGTTTTGTAGTATTGCCTTACCTTGGGTGGTTGTAGAAAATGAAGAATCAGTTAACCAAAACTCAGAATTACATTCTTTTATAGTTGCAAAATTCTATTCCAGTTATAAATTATTTTACTGTCCTATGTAAGAGGTAGAGGCAGAAGCCATCTGTTCTGTAATGAAATTCTGGAGGGAATGAACCTAATGCCTGCATTGCTTAGAAATTGAATGATCAGTGGT